GAACAGTGTAAATCACACATGGGGTTGCTTTAGACATTGATAGAATAAAAAGGTTCACACAGACCTAACAGATGTAGGTCAGTGATTTCTGAGTTATAGTGGAAGAAATATGACTTGACCACTTGTCATACAATATTTAAGTTCAGATTATCTTCAGACAGGTATGTGATATGTGAGTTTACTCCCAGTGGCAGGGGTATTTTTCAGTCAGGGTCATTAACCTTTGACATGTCTGGTTAAATGGAGGGTAGCTCTACTCCATTTTGTCAAACAGCAAACATTTATCTTGTTCTTACATGTGACACTGTGGATATGGGTTAGCAGGTTTCTGTCTAGCCTGTCTCCCCCTGTCAGGGCTGATAGGGCCTCCTCCCTGGGGGCCTGACCAGTGGAAGGATTGCTAAAAGTGTGATGAAGCCAGGCTAGGTACCGTTTCCGTCCAATTCCCTTCAGAAAGTTGGCCTATCTGCATTGTACCAGTAATTCATCAGTAGCTACTTTATATATATATAAGGGTGGGTACTTTAGGATTATAAGCTTAAGACAATGTAAGGCCTTTATGCTTTGCTCTAAACAGATATGATGTGCCTATAAATAAATGGAAAATTCAAAGCATTAAACTGCTGCATAAAGAGCTGCATAAAAATGGAGATGGGCGCCACCCTATGCGTCACTTAATGCGGGAAGGCTCTTTAACTTTATAAAGATGGTAGTTCTTATCAGCCAATACAATGTCTAGCTTTAACTTAGTTATCTAAAACTGTTCTTAACTGCCAGTATCACTATGGAAACACTGGAAATCCAGGAAGCCAATTTTAAATCAGATATGACTACCCGGTATAATAATTGTGATAACTGAAAAAAATAGATAAGTACTTGAAGCTCATAAGAACATTAGGCTTAATGTTAGGTAGATTCTACGGCCATTCCAAGTCTAAATGACCAGTGCTTTAGAATGTTGTTATATTATGTACACCGTACTTGCTTTGTTTGCAGGTGGATATCCCAATGCAGGTACTGTTTGATGAAGCCAAACTGGCCGTGGATCCTGGTGCTGTCCAGCTGCTGGAAGAAAAGTGGCTGTTCCTGGAGGACCAGGTAAGGAACAGTTGTTGCAGTGTTGGCTAACTTAAATACCACGAACATATTTGTTACAATCTGTACACAAAGCTGTGTCCTGGTATTAAATGTCACCTGGTTTTAATGACATTATGATAATCATCATTGTTTTTGTCTGCTGGTGTTGCAACGTTGCTCCCACTGGACTGTTTTCTCTAAGACATAGGCATACACTTAAATAGTACACTTTTTTTTTTAAAGTCAATAGCGTAAATCAAAGTAGATAAGATCCTCATTAAAACGTAAAGATATTTAATCCTTGATAAGAGGGAATCAATTCAAGAATCTTCTCTGGCACCATATTGAAATTTGCATTGATGCTACCTATTTCTGGCATAGTTGTAAAACAGTTAAAAGAAAGGAAGGATCCAGGTTGTGAATATTCCCAGCACACTACAGTGAGCTCAGACCCTTGGAGGAAAAGGGAACACACAGGAGCGGGTAAGAGGAACAGAACCACAGGAGACACTGCCTGCATTTAAGGCTGTCACCGTTACAATAATACTGACATGAGTTGTCCCAGTACAGTACGTAGTACTTCAGGTACAAAATGTCACTAACAACTTCAACTTGTTTAGTAAAAATCCCCAGGGTTACTAATCAGCCAGGCTGTACATGTAGGTCTTGTTGAATCATGGACTTGACAAAATAATAAATGAATACAGGTTGATTTACGTGCCTCCCTAGTAAGGATCTGAGTAGAGTTGATTCTTCTGCTTTTATCAGGCAATAGATTCTCCCAATTACATATGACCTTGCAGTGTGTTGCAGAGTATTTAACAGTTACAAACTTCAAGAGAAATGACACTAACACGGCATGGACATCAACTTTGACATCATCAATCACTT